CTGAGAGAGAGAGAGAGAGAGAGAGACAAACTCACTCAGAGACAGTCTGATCTCATAACAGACCTTCAGCACCATTCTCCTCCAAACCCATCCTGACATTCTGCTGCCTCTCTAATTCACACACATATCAGAGCTGCCACATTCATGTGCTCAGATCATTCTTTGTGACAGTAATGGTAATAATAATACAATAAAGATAAAATAAAAGACTCAAATAACAGAGCAATACATATGATAAAAATAGTAAGAAATAAATTAAGATAAAAAAATTAAATAAAATATAAAAATAAAAATACACAAAACAATTAAAATACAAATATTCCTCAGCTTAGTCTACAGACCGATACTGAGTTATAAAACAATAAAAAAAAATAATAAAAAAAAATCAAATAAAATGCTAAATAAATAATAATAATATAAAATTAAATAATTTAAAATATATATTATTGTATTGCTGAGAGACTGTAAGTGCATCACCGTAAATGCGTCTTTAATTTTTTTACAAAATGAAATGAAAGTCAAAGCTCAATAAAATAATACTCAGAACTCATAAAATAATAATACAAACTAAGATAAAATAAGATAAAAGAAAAATAAATAATACAATTTAAAAAAAAGACAAAACACATACATGCACAAAAGATAAAATAAAATAAAAAAAGATAAAAATATAAAATAAACTAAAAATCATTATTTGTGGTTGATTTGTGGTCCTGGACTCCTGACAGACCGCGAGTAAATGTGCATCAGTTTTCATCAGATTTGTGGTCCTGGACTCCTGACAGACCGCACTGTAAATGTGCATCAGTTTTCACACAATGAAACGCTGCATCATCTGGATCCTCACACCGAGATGGATGTTCATATAAAGAAGTGTTTACTCTCCCCGAGAGTCTGACGGGGCTCTGAACTTCCCATAAATAATGCAAATGCTGGAGGAGCTGCTGCGGAAACAACCGAGACGAGCCATCAGTGTCCTGCAGAGAATCCATTCAGAGTGTGGAAAACACTGGAGAACAGGTTCATACAGGTATATCTGGATCATATACTTGTGGTGTCATCACCAACACAAACGCATCTCACAGTGAACAGTGATGAAACTCATTTCTTTATGTGACGAACATGTGAATTGATGCACAGCAAACACAGCTGCAGCTGAATATATCTGTGTGAGGAATGGACGTTCATGAATGCGCTCCAAACATCATGTCCTGATGAGTGCCTCTGTGCTGCTTTCCTTCATACCAATACAAGAGATCCGTACAGCAAGGATGGAAATGAAAGCGTGTCAGACACAGAGCTGATTTCACTGGACGCGTCTGGATAGAAGTGATGATTACAAACATCTGACAATCCAACAGAACAGAACACACATCTAAGTCAATGTTATCACATACAGACAGTGAGTGTATCTGGACCTGCTACAGCAATACTGCCAGACCTGGGCTCTGACAGTCAACCTGAAGAAAACCAAAATTATGATCTTTCAGAAAAGATCCAAATCCCAGGGAACACCACACACATTTACATTAGGCACTCAGCAGATAACACACACATCACACTACAACTACCTGGGTTTGAAAATCACATCCACGGGAAACTTTAATCATGCTGTGAATGAACTGAGAGATAAAGCACGCAGGGCCTTCTACGCCATCAAACGGCAATGTCCTATAGAGATCCCTATTAGAATTTGGCTGAAAATATTAGAATCAGTAATTGAGCCCATTGCCCTCTATGGCAGTGAGGTGTGGGGTCCACTGACAAATCCCAATCAAGATTTCACCAAATGGGAAAAACATCCGATCGAGACCCTGCATGCAGAACTCTGTAAAAATATACTACACGTGCACCGGCACACAACAAATAACGCATGCAGGGCAGAATTAGGCAAATATCCTCTAATCATAAAGATACAAAAAAGGGCAATTAAATTCTGGAAACATCTGAAGCTCAGTGACCCCCAATCATATCATTATAAAGCCCTGCAAGACCAAGAGATGAGCAAAGAAAGCAAGCCCCTCCCTCAGCTGATCCAGAGCTTCAGTCCTGATGCTTCACTAACATCTACTGCTGCTCTGCATCACAGCATCAGAATCAGTCAGATTACTGCACAGATCAAACAGAGCTACATCACTCACTGGCAAACCCAAACACAACAGCAGAGTAAAGTGCAATGCTATCTGGCCCTAAAGAGAGAGTACAGTACGGCAGAGTATCTGTACACAGTGTCAGATAAGAAACTGAGAAGCACGTTGACCAAATACAGACTCAGCGGACACAAGCTGATGATAGAGACGGGCAGACACAGAAAAACATGGCTGCCACCGGAGCAGAAATTAAATAATTTAAAATATATATTATTGTATTGCTGAGAGACTGTAAGTGCATCACCGTAAATGCGTCTTTAATTTTTTTACAAAATGAAATGAAAGTCAAAGCTCAATAAAATAATACTCAGAACTCATAAAATAATAATACAAACTAAGATAAAATAAGATAAAAGAAAAATAAATAATACAATTTAAAAAAAAGACAAAACACATACATGCACAAAAGATAAAATAAAATAAAAAAAGATAAAAATATAAAATAAACTAAAAATCATTATTTGTGGTTGATTTGTGGTCCTGGACTCCTGACAGACCGCGAGTAAATGTGCATCAGTTTTCATCAGATTTGTGGTCCTGGACTCCTGACAGACCGCACTGTAAATGTGCATCAGTTTTCACACAATGAAACGCTGCATCATCTGGATCCTCACACCGAGATGGATGTTCATATAAAGAAGTGTTTACTCTCCCCGAGAGTCTGACGGGGCTCTGAACTTCCCATAAATAATGCAAATGCTGGAGGAGCTGCTGCGGAAACAACCGAGACGAGCCATCAGTGTCCTGCAGAGAATCCATTCAGAGTGTGGAAAACACTGGAGAACAGGTTCATACAGGTATATCTGGATCATATACTTGTGGTGTCATCACCAACACAAACGCATCTCACAGTGAACAGTGATGAAACTCATTTCTTTATGTGACGAACATGTGAATTGATGCACAGCAAACACAGCTGCAGCTGAATATATCTGTGTGAGGAATGGACGTTCATGAATGCGCTCCAAACATCATGTCCTGATGAGTGCCTCTGTGCTGCTTTCCTTCATACCAATACAAGAGATCCGTACAGCAAGGATGGAAATGAAAGCGTGTCAGACACAGAGCTGATTTCACTGGACGCGTCTGGATAGAAGTGATGATTACAAACATCTGACAATCCAACAGAACAGAACACACATCTAAGTCAATGTTATCACATACAGACAGTGAGTGTATCTGGACCTGCTACAGCAATACTGCCAGACCTGGGCTCTGACAGTCAACCTGAAGAAAACCAAAATTATGATCTTTCAGAAAAGATCCAAATCCCAGGGAACACCACACACATTTACATTAGGCACTCAGCAGATAACACACACATCACACTACAACTACCTGGGTTTGAAAATCACATCCACGGGAAACTTTAATCATGCTGTGAATGAACTGAGAGATAAAGCACGCAGGGCCTTCTACGCCATCAAACGGCAATGTCCTATAGAGATCCCTATTAGAATTTGGCTGAAAATATTAGAATCAGTAATTGAGCCCATTGCCCTCTATGGCAGTGAGGTGTGGGGTCCACTGACAAATCCCAATCAAGATTTCACCAAATGGGAAAAACATCCGATTGAGACCCTGCATGCAGAACTCTATAATAAAAATATACTACACGTGCACCGGCACACAACAAATAACGCATGCAGGGCAGAACTAGGCAAATATCCTCTAATCATAAAGATACAAAAAAGGGCAATTAAATTCTGGAAACATCTGAAGCTCAGCGACCCCCAATCATATCATTATAAAGCCCTGCAAGACCAAGAGATGAGCAAAGAAAGCAAGCCCCTCCCTCAGCTGATCCAGAGCTTCAGTCCTGATGCTTCACTAAGATCGTCTCCAGGTTACGAATGTAACCATGGTTCCCCGAGGGAACGAGACGCTGCGTCGGAAAACGCTTCAGCCTCAGCGCACCGTGGAGGAAACGTGTAACTAGGGGGTGTCTGCCCACTGACTGGCCACCGACACGTAGACTTTCAAGGTGGAGTGGGTCAACCCTGCAGAGAAACGGGCCTGCAGGAACTCCAGCACTGTACCAACTGGGCAGTAAACTGGGTCAAGCTGGCAGTCTCCGCACCAAGAAGTGACAAGATTTCACTTCAGGGCATACAGTTTCCTCGTAGAGGGAGCTCTGGATTGGAGAACGATCTCAACAACCTCGGTTGAGAGACATGAAGCTGCGAGTTGTGCCCACCCCCAGGGGCCACACCTACGCTTCCCCAGCTCCGGGCGGGGGTGAAGATAGTACCCTCTGCCTGTGAGAGGAGATCCCTCCTAATGGAAATCTCCCATGGAGAGCCGTTGAGAAGGGAAATCAGGTCAGAGAACCATACTCGGACCAGCCAGAACGGGGCTACTAACAGTAGAAGGACCCCGTCCCGGCACACCCTCTCCAGAACTCCCGGGAGCAGAGCGATCGGGGAAAAAGGCGTACAGACGAAGCCTCGACCACGTCTGTACCATAGCATCCAGTCCGAGAGGAGCTGGATGAGTCAGAGAGAACCAGAGGAGACAGTGCGATGTCTCTTGAGTCGCAAACAGGTCCACCTGAGCCTGGCCAAAAACTCTCTATATCTGCTTCACCACCTCGGGGTGAAGCCTCCATTCCCCGGGCCTCGGCCCCTGCCTCGACAGGATGTCTGCTCCCATATTGAGATGGCCAGGAATGTGAACTACTCTCAGCAAGAGGAGTTTGCCCTGGGACCACACAAGGATCTGGTGCACCTGCCTGTAAAGGGGGCGCGAACGCAGACCTCCCTGGTGGTTGATTTAAGAGACCGCCGCTGTGTCGTCGGTGCACCAACACATGGCGCCTTCTTAGGTCTGGGAGAAAGTGTTTCAATGCTA